TCTTATTTAGACAGACCTGCAGAGATAATAACATGCACAAAAACAAGACAGAGCAAAACCAAGCAACAAAAGAAAACAAAACAACAACAAAAAGCCAATGACAAAAAAAAACAGAACGAAAACACACAACAGAACAACAACAAAAAAGAAAAGCTTGTAGTTAGTTCAAGGACTGTTTGTTGCCCTTTTCTGGTCGGGTCTGATGGGGTGCCAAACCCTGGTCCCAAAGTCTATTTTTGGTATTTCCTGGGGACTTTGTTGCTCTGCTTCCCTTGCTGTTCTGTTGCACGCCCTTAGTGTTTTTGCCTCCGTGTGGTAGGATCACATCAGGTGGAATTCCCACATTGGGTCTCCAGTGTTGTCCCCTGTAGGGATGGGTCAGTGAGGGATGTCATGTCTCATAGTGGGGCCGGCCATATGGTTTTCTGTGTGGATTGCCTCAGAGCTCTTTATTATACAGGAATCTGATTGACTTTTATATGTTTATCTTATACTGTGCGGTGTTGCTGAATCTTTCAATTAGTTCCAACAGTTTTCTTGCTGAGTCTTTGGGGTTTTCGAGGTGTAGAATCATTTATTTGCAAGTAGAGTTCTGCTTCTTTTTGTCAATATGGATAACTTTGCTTTCTTTTCTTTTTTTCTTCTGTTTAGCTCTAGCTAAGACTTACGGTAGAATATTGAATAAGTGCAATGATAAAGGAGGGTATTCTTTCCTGGTTCCCACTTGCAAGGGACAAGACAATTCTTCAGTAGTGAACATCTTTTTTTCAGGGCCTAGAGAAGAGGAATGGTTGAGAGACATAAAACTTTAAAATAGAGCTGTTTATGTGGTAGCATTGCACCAGACCATCTTATTAGATGGTAGCAATCCCTTGAGGGCAGGAATCACACCTAACATTCTGTAAGTTCTAAAGCTAATTGCAAAAATAATCAGAAATAAGGGACCAGGCACTAGATCTAATCACGCCACAAGTTGATTCTTTAACCTTTCCTTGCCTCTGTAGTATTGATTCATGATTCTATTATAATAGCTTCAATTTTTGAAAGAAAGCATGTTGACTTTTTTATAGCTTTATAGCTACAACATTTGAGATCTACCCCCACTTCCCCCAAATTGTGAATTAGGTAACTAGGTGCCCTGAAAGTTAGTTGTAAATTTATACAACATTTAGGACAGGTTTAGACAAAGAGAGAAATTAATACAATGTAATTGTCAACAGGATTGGGATTCTTCTTTGGTGAAGACTTTCAAACTGAAGAAAAGACAAAAGAGGGTAGGTTGGTTTTGATCATTTATTTACAAAGTAACAATAAAAGACTTTTCTCTGGAAATGTTGCCAGGATACCATGTTCCTGACGTGTTATTTTAGCCATTATCGTTTGACATATTTCAGATGAATTAATGCTGCGTGGTGGGAAGATATTGGTATTCCTTGAGGTAGTAACTTGATACAGGGTCCTAGGAGTCTACCCTATTTTACTGCTCTGGGCTGCATCTCAATTCATTCTTACAGCAGGAAAGGATATATTTAAGTTTTTTTTGAGTTGTCATAGGAATTTTTATGCAAAACTTTTGTGTTCTAATGTAAGTTTCAGATGAAATGTATGCATAATGGGATTTACAAGGGGCTGTGTGTGCATGTTGAGGGTGCATAATGTGTTTCCAAAGGTTTCATGTCCTCAGATAGGATTACAGCTCTACTTTCCTAGTGCTGTCATCTACATTTCTCCAAAGCTGCTTCATTCCTTTTGGGCACTGAGGGCATTTTTGGGTTGGCATAACTTAAACTTTCTACAGAAATAGGCAGTACAAAAGAGAGCCCATTGCTATGTATTGTTGTCCTGGTACCACACTGGGACTTGCATACTAAATTGCCTGATGGAATAGTTTTGTCTTATGTTCCTCATGTCTTCTACTTGGCACTAAAATGTTTGGTTGTGTCCCCTTTCTAGCGCTCTAATAGCCGACAGTTTGTTGACGGCCCACCTGGACCTGTAAAGAAAACTCGTTCCATTGGTTCCACTGTAGACCAGGTGAGACGAGTCAGACACCTGGGGAGAGAAGTCAGCTCTTGCACACAGCCGAGATTAGTGGCCTCAAGCATTGAAACCCCTTGTGAGCAAGCCTCACAGCATTCTTTTGGGAGAGCACTTTGGTGAGAGTTTTCTTTGTAGTAGTATCCTCATCATTTATAGTGAATGAAATTACTCTGACCATATAAACGTCTGTCAGCTTTATGTTTGGTTATTGCGTTGTTTGTATGTACAAGGGTAAGACAGAAAGTG